CACTAGTAATTAAAGAAAGGAAGGCAAATTTAGATCTCTAGGAGATAACTTCAGTACAAACAATGGAATAGCTAAAAGCAAACAGGCTTACAAGTGAGTGTTGGAGATGATGTGGATCAAAGGGAACATCCAGACACTCCTGGTGGGAAAGCAAACTGGCAAAACGTTTGCAAAACCAGTTTACAAGGAACTACAGCTGGTGAAGATGCTCATAGCATATAGCCTAGCAATTGCACCCCTACCTGTATTGCCATCAAAAATACGTGCACAACGAGGCTGATATTATGTCATAGTAGGTAAAGCTGCAATCTGCGACTCTAACATCCCATATGGGCAATGTGAGTTTCTTGGCTGCTGCACTTCTGATCCAGCTCCCTGTTAGTGGCCCATGAAAAGCAGAATTGGCCCAAGTGTTAGGGCCCCTGTCACCTACATGGGAGACCCAGATGAATCTTCTGTCTCCTGGCTTTTGTTTGGCCCAGCACTGGCCTTTAGAAGCATCTTTGGAGTAAACCAGTTGATGGAAGAACCCTCTCTCTTACTCTCTTTCTTTCCCAGTCTCTCTTCAACGATGTCTTTTAAATAAATAAATAAATCTTTCTAAAATAATACATGCACAAGGGCTCAAAGAGACATGCACAAACACAGTCATACTTGAATGACTTAAAACAGCCCCTAAGTAAGAACATCAATGTTCATATAAGAGAATAATATCCATTAATGGACAGGCACTGAGTAGATGACATGCAACAGCATGGATGAATCTCACAAGAATAATGTTTTGGAAAAGCAATTAGTTACAAAACAGTGCATAGTGAAGTGATTTAAGTTAAGTCAAAAATAGGTAGCAGGGGTACCAAAAAACTTTAATACTTAGGGATGCATACTTGTGTCAAACTGTAAGGAAAGACAAGTATGTGATCCCAAAAGATTGGAGCAGGTGTTAATACTGCTGCTATAGGTGCTAATTTAGTGGTGGAAGTGGGGCTGAAATTCCTCTGGATGGAAGGAATAGTTTAACTCCAGAGGGTGTTAAAATTGAACCTCACTTAGGAACAATAGTTTGAGCTAAACATTCTTGTCAGAATCTATTCTGCCTGTGTGTTAAATTTATAGTGCAACCAATTAAAAGTGGAAGTTAGAAATGATTATGAGTGGGAGTTTTATGGTCAGTGAGGAAATGAAAACAAGGTCAACCTCCATAAATGACCGCAAATTGTAACAACAAAGAGAAATATTACTAACACTCTGATTCAGCCAACAGTACCAAGAGTGGTAACAAGAAATGATGGAGAGGGTACATTAAGTGGACAACCTTCTGTCCTGTATGAGAGAGTGAGAATTAGTGGAACCAATATGGACAGCTCTTTGCAGCATCACTGAACATGAAATGTACATACAACACAATTCTGATGATCTGATCCATGTATCTGTCCCACAGTGGTGCAAACAGTATGAAGGAAACCACATGTCCAAGGGCGATGATTGCATCACTATATAGAGTATACAAGCAATTTCAAATAATTTAACTACCCATGAGTGGGGCAACAGTTTAAAGATGTTAGTTCACAGAATCTGCAGAACACTGTGCAGCTGTTTAAAAAGTAACATACTTGGCAAGGAAGGAAGCAGGAATATTGTCCCATTGTAGACCCCTAAAATGTCCACAGAATATGGTCCCCTAGAGTGAATCCTGGAACAGATAAGCCAGTAGCAGAAAAGCTAGAGAAATGTGAATAAAGGCCACAGTTAGTCAAAGTAATGTCCGAATGTTAATTTTTTTTTTTTTACTTAAAAATATAGAGTATGGGAGAGAGATAGAATCTTCCATCTCATCTGCTGGTTCACTCCCCAGGAGACATCAAGGGCCATCACTGTAACAGACTAATCTAGGAGCCAGGAGTTTCACCCAGGCCTCCCATGTGAATGGCAGGGGCCCAAACACTCGGGCCCTTTTCTGCAGCTCTTTCCAGGTTGCTAACAGGGATCTGGATCTGAAGTAGAGAAACCAGGACACAGACTGGGGCCTATATTACATGCCAACATCGGAGATGGAGGATTTACACACTAAATCACAACACCAGCCCCAGTGAATGTTAATTTTTTCATTTCAGCAAAAATATTGTGGAGGTATGAGATGTAAGCATGAGGGATGCTAGGTGAGAGCTACATGGAAATTTTCTTTACTATCTTTGACAAGTTTCTATGAATCTGAAATTCTTTAAGAACAGAAACCTTAAAAAGGAATGATCTTCTCTTCCCTTTTCATATTTTAACAGTAACAGCAACAAGAGCAACAAAACCAACTACTGATATTGTTAATTACCTGTGACTAGTCTTGTGAATAGTGATGTTTGCATAAAAATTTCAGGAACCTACTGAAAGGAGATGACTTGGAATAGCAGATTCACACCCAGCTAAGGAGAAAGTCTGCAACCATCAACCACAAACAACTGAGCTTCATTATGAAGAAATCTCCACCTGGCTGGTGCCCTGTCTTTTCCAGGTGGACTATCATAAGAACAAAGCCTGAAAATCTTTTTAATCAGCATTTGACTGGACTCTGTTTTATCTAACCTATGCCTACAGCTACCTCTTCCCTTTGTAAACCCTTTTTGCTGACTTGTTATGTAGAAAAGAGTACCTTTTGAATCCAGAGATAACTCTTTCCTCAAGACTTTTAGTTTCTTGAAATAAACCCTTTCATCATACCAAATATGTACACTGGTGAGTTGCTGTCCAGCGGCAAGCAGCAGGTGCCTTATTATTTTACCCGATAACATCTCTATGCTGCAATGTCACAGTTCTCACAGATATGGTTAAACACAAAGGCCTCACTGTGTATGCAAAAATTGTCCTACTTTTGGACTTAAAAAGCCTTAGTTTATTTTTTTGCAATATATACTGATGGTTTTAAAGAATATTTTTATTTATTTATTTATTTATTTATTTGAAAGGCAGAGCTGCAGCGAGAGAGGGAGAGAGGTTTTCATTCATGGTTCACTCTAAATGGCCACAACTGCCGTGATGGGGCTCAGCCCAAGTCATGAGCCAGGAACTCCATCTGGGTCTCCCATGTGAACCCCCAACATCACTGTGCAAAGTTCATTTTCCCTTGAATCTATATAATAGATGGAAGCTCTGAAATTCTCTCAAACCTGACACTGATGTGTTTCTGTAGGTATGAATATATGCGTTCAATCAACTCACAAAACTCTTTAAAGGAAACACCAAGAAATGGTGATTTGCTGACGCCTGGCTAGTAGGCTGGTGGTAGATGGGGTGGTCAAGGGAGAGCTACAATTTGTGTGTGTGTGTGTGTGTGTGTGGTGTGTGCCACTGGCAGGCCTGAAAAGCCCAGCAGGGAAATGACGTTGGGTCTCCAACAAATGAAAAGACACAAGAGAGAGGGTCTCATTCTTTCCCCAAACTGTATCACTTTGTTCTTCTGTGCTCTCTCTTCTCAAGCCACATCCTTTCACCAAAATACACTTCCTCTTTCACCCAAATCATTTGTGGGATGATCATGTGCCTAGCACACAAATGTATACCAGAGTCTTAGTCCTTTTCCAGGTCACCTAGCTCCCTTCCCATGAGATCATGTGTACTTGATCATCTGTCACCATAAGAGGGACAGTTTTGGGATCCTGTGTTCAGTTAACTGATCAGGGGAGGAAGAGAGGTGTGAAATTGACTTCAGCCTTGCTCCACGTCCTGAGTGATTTGTATGTTTGCAATTCTGCCATCAGAGAGAGGATGTAAGACTTTTGTGTGCTCAAAGCCTCAGAAAAGAAAGAACAAGGTATAGTTGCATGTCATCACCACTAATCATCTTGTATAAAAAGAGAGAAAGGGAAGGAAGAAGGGGGCTTGCAGTGTAGAAAGGAGAGAATGTCCAGGCATATCCAGTTGAGCTTCCTGGCTGCTTGACGGGCATCTCTGATGCTTAGCATGTTTAGAACTCCAACAGAGGACTGAGAAGCAAGGACAGGTCTGGAAGATCTGATTAATTGCTACAGATTGATATGATGAAAAGGAAAAAAAGATCTGATCTGCACACCATGGAAAGAATTTCTGACTTCTGTCTCTTGTCTTGAGTTTTAAACCTTTTGTTCAACGATTTATTATAGAAAATAATTAATAGCTTATTAGTGGCTGGCAAAGACTAGGGAGTATTTCCCAATATTTGATCAAAACTTTTCATGCAGCTAGGGGTGAAACTGACTCTCACTCTTTGAGTTTGCTTCCCCATAGGTAAGATGTCATGAATGAGACATAGTTTGCAGAGGTGCTGTATGTGTCTAGCGTACAAGAGTCACAGACTACATCAAAAACAGCAACACTTCCTCATACTGCATGAGTGATTCAAAGTAGGAGCTGGGTGGAACTCATTCCCCATCTTTGATTCTTCCTGTCCTGATTAGCTCCAGGTTCTGTAATCATTTCACTTTAGACCCGAAGTACAATGGCAATGGAGTGTTGGCCAGAGATGTCTTACATGGATATTTGATTTCACTCACATACAGTGGTGAAAGAAGAAACCTCAGCTAACACTGACAAATTGAGTAACATTACAAATCTGGAATTCCATCTTGTCTTGTAAAATCTGCACATTGCTAACAATGCACCCACATTACTGCATAACAGCAATTGATTTGAGCCAAGCAGCAGCTGCGCTATTAGTGTGAGCATGCACTGTCAGTTGTTCACAGCCAGTAGGACCTGTTTTAACATGATTTGCTTGTCCTGTGGTCATTGTCATTTCCAGCTCGCTCAACAACTGGAATCAGGGTATACCAGAAGAGAACAGGTACTCGACTGCACAGGGAATCAATATACCAACTTTTTCCTCTACCACCTTCTTATTTAGCCTTGTTAAGAAATCCCACTTACAGGTGAAGCCGATACTCATTTTGAGTTGTGGATTGAACAAGTGTGTTACAGTCAGGATTATCTCGGTTCTGGTATGGTTAACAACGACCCATACATCTCAGTGCTTTATAGCTAGAGTTTATTATTTGTCCAAGAACACACACCTAGACACAAACTAAAGCCATGCTCATGTTTATGCATGCCTGAATACAGATGTGAGTGCACAGCTATGTCTACAATAGCAAGAAAAAGCAATAAGTTGGCAAACAAAAATCAATGAGACATCCTATAATCTATTCATCTCATTATGGTATACAATTTTGTTTTAACAGAGGTATAAAAAGCATGCAAGTATTCAAATGAATAAACGATAAAGGTACAAGAGTATCCAACCTCAACCAAAGAATTGCCCCACTAATTAACAAGTTTATAAAATGCATGTAAATCTAACAAATGATGCTCAGGATTTAGCAGTAATCATTACACAAATCAGAACAGGATATCAAATATGCTATGCTCTAGCTATGCTTCATCCTCTGTGGTCCTAGCTCATAGAGAGCTCCAGCCCAGATGTCCACCAGACAATGAGTTGGAGGTGGCTGGCCTGGGGCACAGAGCAGGAAAGGGAGATTGCAGCACTCTTTCTCCAGCAGGATCTGTAGACAAAAAGGACGGATTCAGAGTCAGGTCATATCCACATCCCCTCCCTCGTCTTCCCCCTTTTGGTTTTGCAGCACCATCGTAGATTTGTCACGGTGAGAGCTGCACAGGCCTTAGAACTCCTGTTTTCCCCATATCAGCCTTGCCTTCCTCATCCATGATAGCCTCATCCACGACAGCCACCATATCCCTTTTGGTCAAGCCCAGGGTGTTGGAATATGCCTCTTCCTAACTTGAAAACAATCCCTGGCTCCTCAGCACGTGCACTTGCTGATCAGGCATCCCACTCCTTGATTGATAACCTGTGTGGACTGTTCCCTTCCTTTCCAGCAGTTTCTTCAGACCTGTTGCTTCACTCACACACTGGGCCCCATCCACCAGGCTCATGTGAGGGGACACAGTCCTGCTCCTTAGCCTCACCAGGTGTTTCTCCCACTCAGAGCTCCTACAACCCATCTTCTCTGGGCACATCTTTGATATGTGATTGCACAACACAAAGTGGGAAAACAGCCAAGCTCCACATGGAGACTGGACAGAAAGACCCTAAAGGCAAGGAACAGCACCCCTACCAGACCAAGCCCTTTTCACTTTTCTGTGTTCTTCCCAGGCCAGAGCAGACCACAGTGGTCTGGGGAGAGAACTCCACAGTGAGATCAAGAACCTGGTTCTTCCATTTGCTATGCTGCATGGCATACAGCAAGTCCCTGCCACTCTCAGAGGTTGTTTCCTGTTGCTTGACATGAGGTCACAGGGCCCTTGTTGTTGAACACAAAGCTCGTATTCTTGGTATTCACTGTGGAACCATCAATTACCATGGATAGTCACACGGAGGAGCCATAGTGCCCAGCATTGAGGAAGAACAACCCACTGATCCTGATTTCTCAGTTAGAACTTGGAAACCACTGTTTACCCAAACCTATCTGCAACCCTCTCCCAACTGTCCCCACCTCAGGGTTACCACGTGAGGGAGCCAGCTACCTGGTAGGCCGCGGGGCTGGGCCAGCGTCATGGGCTCACGTGGCACTAGAAAGGAGTTTCTCAGAGTCAGCAGTGCCTCAGCGGCTTCCAGCTTCTGTTGCCACTCAGAAGCAGCAACCAAGGCCAGCTCAGGGGCTTTGGGGACCTGCAAAGGAAAGGCCATCAGAGAACAGTGCTATGATCCTATGAAAGCCACACCTCCTCTCAGTAGAACAAATGTCCCTTCAGCCCATATTCCCTCCAGCCACCTCCTACCATGTCCCCCCACCCCAATACTGTCTTCTGTTCCCTTAAACTCAGCCCCTGCCAGATTTCTGGACCCCATACATTCCCCAGGACCTGTGGCTGCAGTTGAAAAGGATCAAGTGTGGCACAGGGCTGATGGGTCAGACTTGAGCACCTGGAAACAAGGAGAGGAGAGGCCAAGGGATTAAACCCTCTGAAAGACACATGGCACCAGTACACAGAGAGTGAGGCAGGATTTCTCGTTGACTGTGTGTGGCAATCCAAAAGTCCACGGGACAATGTGGTTATGGCTTGGGCAAGTATTTCCTCCTGTTCCAACTGTTTTTGGTTCCACACTTATTTTACATATTTGTCTTGAGACACAAACTCCTGCCAGCTTTTCTCCCTATGGATCTCAGGGAAGATGATGGGAAAGTACAGTTGGCCGTGGTTTTTTTTTTTTTTTTTTTTTTTTTTTGACAGGCAGAGTGGACAGTGAGAGAGAGAGACAGAGAGAAAGGTCTTCCTTTTGCCGTTGGTTCACCCTCCAATGGCCGCCGCGGCTGGCGCGCTGCGGCCGGCGCACCGTGCTGATCCGAAGGCAGGAGCCAGGTGCTTCTCCTGGTCTCCCATGGGGTGTGCCGGCGCCGCTAGGCGGAGGATTAGCCTAGTGAGCCGCGGCGCCGGCCAGTTGGCCGTGTTTTAATTTGCAAAGTTCCTGGAGAGATGTGATTACTGCCCCTGGGAAGGACTGGTTCTTGCTTTCATGTTGCCCAATCCCCAAGGACCTTGAAAGAGGAGCTTGGCTCACCCACAGGAATCTTGCTAAAATGGCCCCCTGGGCTTTCCCAGGGTCCTCGATAGCACTCATATCAGGACCCTGCTTTGCACTGTGGGCCTTCAACCCTGTTCATCTGAGTCAAGAGGAACAACTTTCCCCATTTGCTGAACGGAGACAATGTGGCAGGCCTCTTGCTAGTCCTCTTTTCAATGCTATGCATCTACAATATTGTCCCAAGAACACAGATAGGCAAACAAAGGCTGTACACATAAAGTCCCTGGCTCAAGGTCTTACAAATAGGTAACGGCAAAGCTGAGGGAGCTCTGTCCTTGTGTGTTAGTCTGAGATTCAGCCTTCTCCTTGGCCTTCACCTCTTCCTTTTTCTCCTCTTTCTGCTCCTCCTCCCCTGCTTCCTACTAACTGGCATCAAGTATAAGGTAGGGCACAAAATAGCACAATAAATAACCAGCTCATGGCTGGCACTCTACTCACTGATCTGGCAGATGGGGCCATTGTGGCTGTCCAGAATTAGCAAATACCCGTGGCAAATCCATGGTCACTGGAGCAGAGGGTGGAAATGTAGGTTCTGGAGGATGGCTAAACATCCCTGGAGATGTTCCCTGTAGGATCAGAGAGCACAAGCTACAGTCAGGTGCGAGGCTGGCCAGGACAGGGAATATACGCATATTTGGTGATGAAGACAGGACCCACGACTTCAAAGCTCTAACGACCTTCAATAACAGCCACTTGACTCTGCTTTTTGCAACAGGGGAAAGTGGGCCCTGGGGAGAAGAAATGATTTTTCCCCAAGGCCACATGGAAAGTGGATGGTAGTGTGGCAGGTGGAACCCATGCCTTGGGCAATGGATGGATGGGTGCCTCCTTCATTTGCAAGAGACTCTCCTTACCAAATTAGGGGTGTAGCAAGGGTAGGCCTGTGGCTGGGGCATCACGTCCACCTTCCCAGCTGTGAAAGAAAAGGGATCACTTTGGTGAGCCTCCACTTCCCACCCCTCACCACACTGTCCCAAGGTCTCTCAGGTACAGCCCCAAATTGAGTTCTCATCTTACCGTGGACCTTTCTTACCCACCACCAGCTCCCATCAGATCTTCCCTTTCTACAAACACTTGGTTGACAGCAGTGATTTTTTTATTATTATTAACAGCCAATCAGTAAATTACCCAGGGCCACAGCACAATTTAGTGACTGGACCAAACTACTCATGTTTTTTCCACCCTAACACCGGCTGCCTCCCTGCCACTCACTGTGGACTCCTGCTTCCACGGCTGTATTCTTGATGTGGACGGGAGCCCCAGGAGCAACAGGCATGCTCTTGATCACTCCATGAGTCAGCTGCTTCGTGGGTTCTGGCCCCTGCTCCCTCCTCAGTGTATTCATAGCAGGCAAGGCCATGCAGGGTTCCCTACAGTAAGAGATTACAGGTCTAAGTCACATTTAGAGGAGATCTGATCCTTCCCCTTGTCAGACACCATACTTACGAGAAGACACAATTGTGACACTGGCAGGCACGGAAGTGGCAGATACGCTCCTGGCCCCCAATTGTGGTAGAGATTCCATAGCTGTGACAGGGGTCAGAGAGACCTGCAGCTCCTCTGGGGACGAACTGAAGCCCCCAGGTGCCTCTGGTCTCACTCATGGCGTTGTATTCGAAGTTGGAGGGGCAGCTGGGCACAGCAGGCATTTCTTGGGGATCCATGACTCTAGGATAAGAAGCAGAGGTCAGAATGGCTCTATGATCTCCTTTTCCTGCCTTTGGAAAACCTTGTCCAATGTTGCTAGTCTCGTCTCTGTTCTGCTCACTACTCCTATCAGATCACTCTTCCATTTATCCAACAAATGTTGGCTTTATTCAGTCTCCCCCTTAATTTCTTTACTCCTGGAGCCTCCTTCCAGGGAGCTCCACTCATTCATACCCTCCTCTCCTGAACCCCTTGGCACATGTTCCATACACACATTTAATTTAATCTTGGTCTTATTAACCCTCCATAAATTAATGCCATTTTTTTTGACAGGAAGAGTGGACAGTGAGAGAGAGAGAGACAGAGAGAAAGGTCTTCCTTTGCCGTTGGTTCACCCTCCAATGGCCGCTGCGGCCAGCGCGCTGCAGCTGGCGCACCGCGCTGATCCGAAGGCAGGAGCCAGGTTCTTATCCTTGTCTACCATGGGGTGCAGGGCCCAAGCACTTGGGCCATCCTCCACTGCACTCCCTGGCCACAGCAGAGAGCTGGCCTGGAAGAGGAGCAACCGGGACAGAATCCGGCGCCCCGACCGGGACTAGAACCCAGTGTGCCGGCGCTGCAAGGCAGATAATTAGCCTAGTGAGCTGCGGTGCCAGCCCAATGCCATTTTCAAACACACAAATGCACGGCTGGTCTGCGACAACTACCATATCTTCTGATGGATTGCCCTATAGTCTGCCAAGCCCAAAGATCTTTCCTGGCATCCATCTCAACAATTATCTTCCTTAGATCCTGCTTTCATGCACTCCCCAAAGTTGGATTTCTACCCCTTGCACTGGATTATATTATCAGTTGCAAGTATGTCCTATATTTAGTTTCCCTGTCACACACCATTCTGATTTTTGTTGCGCTCAATTTTAATCTTGATTACTCCCTTATTCCCCAACCCCCAAACCACCACCCTTGGTTTAAACTGCTTGCCTTCTTTTACCCCAGAATGTCTTACTGTACTTCTGGTCCTAAATCCTGTTATTTTCTTTCATCCCCTAGTCAGTCCCTGGATTCCTTT